TGAGGCAAGAGAATCGCCTAAGCCCAGGAATTGGAGGTTGCTGTGAGCTGTGACAACATGGCACTCTACTGAGGGTGATAAAGTGAGACTATGTCTCAAAAAACAATAATTGCATGGTGTTCTTAGGAGACACAGAATGAGACAGAAGTCAAGGGCATGATGTCTCTAACTTGGTTTAAAATAGCAGGTATCTGTCTAAATAAGTAAATAAATGAATAAACATAACCCAGACAATGATAAACAATGGGGCAAAATATAAATAGTTGGTTACTCTAAATAAAGAGTATATAAGAGTTCCTTGTACTATTCTTGCCACTTTTCTATAAATTTGAAATTATACCAAAATAGGTATTGAAAATAAAATCCTGTTGCATCCTGAAAGGCAAGCAGCAAACAGACCCCCAGATAGGGTGGAGACCCAGGGAAGCATGCGAGGGACTGCCCTCCTTCTCCCTCAGCTATAAGGGGGACCAGACCTCCCTCAGCCCTATCAGCCAGTCCCCCACCTTCTCCTGCTGTCTCCATGGACGGGGGACACTCTGCCCAGCCTTGTGTGGACAGCATAGAGAATAGTCCTGAGACTATGGCAAGGCACAGGGGCTTGTCGGGGGGACATAGATGAGGGTTGCAATCATGGCTCCACACCTTACTAACTATGAGACTTGGGCAAGACTATTTTAGTTCTCTGATGCTCAGTTTTGCTCATCTGCAAAATGGGAACAATTACCAATAGCATCCCTGAGACTCAGCTGAAGTGACATAGACTGAGGTACTAGGTAAACTGTGATCCTGAGTTCTGCACCCCCACAACCTTCACTCTAGCACCTGCAGTTTCCTGCCAAAACCCCAGTGGCTCCTCCTCCCCCTCCAATGTCATCATTCCTCTGCAACCAAACCACATCAGCTCCATTCTCCTCCTCTTTCACGACCCATCTAGAGTTCTCATCCCCAGATCTTCCCAAACTACCCCCACCACCCTCCTATTCTTGTGAGCTGGTGTCTGGGTCTCTGATTTGTGCTTTTGTCAGTTTTCTCTCATCCTGTCCCTTGCTTGGGTTGGGGCAGATCAATGTGGCTCACGCTCCTTGGTGCTGGGGGTGGGGGGCTCCCAGCCCAGAGTGGGTGGGTGTCATCCACTCTAACAACCTACAGCTTATTCAGAGGACTGGACATGCAAGCTGGGGCAGTGTGCAGATAGGGGTCTGGCCTCCCACAGTTTGATGAGAAAATCACTCCACCTTCCCTCAGGAAACATAAATTTCCTCCTTAGATTAGGTACTTCTCGGCCCTTGGCAAAAATGAACACATACACATCCAGAGCGTTCATGGAGTTAGGTGTCTGGGGCTGGGACGGCAGTGCCAACAGAGAGAGGCAAGTTATGGGGCTGTATAGACCACGTGGTCCCATCTCGGTGGGGGAGAAAAACCCAACTGAAGTATTTGCATGTCTGGGCACACACACACACACACACATATATAAATGCACAGAGAAAAGTAACAAAGTGAATACACTGTAGGGGTGAGTGGAAGTGGGGGTAGAAGAAAGAAGACGGTCACACTGTACGTGGTGTATTTCTACACTGCTTAACATGCTCACATAAGAATGTGTACATATATATTTATGTAATTAATAAACAATAAAAATTATTCCAAAAAGGGAGAAAAGAACTAGGGTACAGACCTAAGAGACAGCTCCTTCATTTCCCATCTCTGGGCAGCCACCTTCCTGGGAGACCTCAGGAACACAGCCCCACAGTGTCCCTCAGGCACCCAGGGTGCAGGCTTCTGAAGGACAAGTGTGCAGGTTCGTAAGCAGGTGGAGGCGCCAAGAACCAGCAGGTTTGGGTGATGGGCTGGGTGGAGGGGCAGGCCAAGGGATACCAAGTTGCCATTACCGCAATGGAGACATCGCTCATCCTCTGTGGGCAAGATATCTAACTCTGCCACGGAGGTGCTCTACACAGAGTGAAACGCCCTCGTGCAGGGCAGCGGAGCCTGCTGGAGCAGCCCAGTCAGGAGTGTGGGTGTGCGTTTTCTGGGAGCTGGTGTTCTCCTGCCAGCCCTGCTCCTTCTGGCCTAACACTGCTTGAGTCCCTCCAGCCCCTGCAGGTCTCACTAGCCATTTCCAGACCCTAGCCCACAGGGCACCTTGCTCTCCTTCCTGTCCAGCAACTAAGACACCCTGAAGTTATTGGGGTGAGGGGCTCCCAGGTGCCTCTGTGTTTATCAGAGGCAGTAGGGGAGACGCCCTTCTGCTTCTCAAGACCACAGTGCCAGACGCCAGACTTCTCCCTGGAGCAGCTGGTGTCCAGCTTGACTGCACACAGGAGGGCCCTGGGAAGCTAAACACACACTGAAGCCTGTCTCCTACCCTGAGATCTGGATTTAATTAGTCTGGGGTGCAGCCTAGGTGAGTGGTTTAAAAGCTCCCCCGGTGACTCTAATATCCATCCAAGGGGGCAGGCACTACTCCAGGATCTGACAATGACAACTTGCCTGGGGCTTTCCACAGCCTCGCTCTCCAGGGCAGAGAGCCCAGCTCCTGCTCTGCTCATTGTCTGGAGCTTGTTTTTCTCCTCCATAGCTCTGCCCTGACCCCACCTGATCTGGTTCAGGATCTCACTGGAGTGGATGTGTGCGGGTGAGAGCAGGAGGCTGCTGACCTCCAGCCTAACTCCTGCACTTGCTGCTTCTGTCCCCAGAGGCAGGGGACAGCCATGTCACAACAGGGAATTCACAATCCCTGGTGGTCTTCCTACATCCTATGTCTCTTCTGCTTTTATCTTCCTGTAACTATCACAGCATGGGCCCAAGGAATACTCTTGGAAATAAAATTATAAACCCATTCTTATAAGGCTTTTCTTTTTTTTTTGAGACAGAGTCTCACTTTGTTGCCCCTGGTAGAGAGCAGTGGTGTCATAGCTCACAGCAACCTCTAACTCTTGGGCTCAAGCAATACTCTTGCCTCAGCCTCCCAACTATCTGGGACTATAGGCACCCACCGTAACACCTGGCTATTTTCAGCAATGGGGTCTCGCTCCAGCTCAGGCTAGACCCCAACTCATGAACTCAGGTGATCTGCCCACCTCGGTCTCCCAAAGTGCTGGGATTACAGGCGTAAACCATGGTGCCCAACTAAATGACCACTCTCGATAATCTGAGGCTTCCCACACAAGAAACTATAATTCCAACTTGGCTGCCCCAACGTGCTGAGTAGCCCCCAATGGTCTGGCTGGGGTATGTTCAATAACCCAAGTTCATCACTGGGAAGGTGAATAAATTGCTTTAAAAAGAAAAGGAAAGAAAGAAAGCAATAAAACTTGGTCACAAAACATTGCCTTGTAGTGGAAAAAAGAAGCAGTTCTTGAATTAATCAAGCTCAATTACTTTCCTCTATTAGTATGGGTAATTAGGAGCTTGTCTAGTCTTTTGTTTTAAAACAGAGAGTGGCTGGGCATGCCCAACCCTCTGTTAAAACTGGAGGTGTCCAAAGATATTTCTGCTGACAAAATTAGACTGAAAATCATATAGGAAGCTAGGGTTGCCTTACAACTTTTGAGGCCTCTAGGCATTTCTGCCTTCATGGGTCCCTTCTGCCCATGAAGAAAAAAAATCACATAGGCTTGGCAACTGTAGCTCAGCGGCTAGGGTACCAGCCACATACACTGGAGCTGGCGGGTCTGAATCCAGCCCGGACCTGCCAAACAACAATGACAACTACAACCAAAAAATAGCTGGGTGTTGTGGCGGGCACCTGTAGTCCCAGCTATTTGGGAGGCTGAGGCAAGAGAACCGCTTAAGCCCAAGAGTTTGAGGTTGTGGGGAGCTGTGAACTGCTGCGGCACTCTACCTAGGGTGACACTTTTTGTCTCTGTTTCAAAACAAACAAACAAACAACAACAACAAAAAATACAGGCAGGATGGCCATAAAGTTCATGTGCAATTTAAAATAGTGTGTAATTTTAAATTGCACACAAACTTTATGGCCAACCTATATATATATTTAACTGTATCATCAGATATTTGAATTATGTAAGTTATACTCTACACCTGTATTAGTATAAAGATGATATGTTAATATTATAAATTAACACATTGTCTTTGACTTAAAAGTTCACCTTTTCCTGATTTTATAAGGTATCACAGCAGTTGGTAGGCCCGTAAAAGCACTGTGAGCCCCAGGCACTGCACGTTGTGGATAAGTGGGCTCCAAGGTGCTGAGCTCCAGAAGAGGAAGGTAGCTGCTATGGTCACAGAGAAGTTCCTTTCTCCTTTGGCTATCTGTACCACACTGTGTTTGATTCTGAGACATAAGGAAGGGCTTTCCATGAACAAAGGTGCAGCCCATGTCCTTCTGAAGGAAGGAACCTCTTGAATAGACCCTGCCAGGAGGGACTATTGCTTGGAGCTGAAGTAGGAAGAACTCAGGACTGAGGGCTTTTTAGAGGGAGTTTGCTAGAAAGGTGTCCCATGAGGGAGGTGCCACAGCAAAGGCATTAAGAAAGGACCTGGGAATGTCCAGTACACAGGCAAGAGCTCAGTTTGGTCTGAGCAGAAGACAGGAGCAGATGAGCTGGGGAGCAGTGTTGGGATTTTGTGGGCTCTTTGGGCCACCACACATTTCAACTAGGTGTGAGATCAGAGCTGTAATTTAGAAAGGTCCCCCTGGCAGGGCAGAGGCAGCTAGGGCGAGATTAAGAGACACTCTTGCAGGGATGTGATGAGAAGTTGAAGGAATGTGAGTGAGGTGGAAGGGCACATGGGTAGGAGGAAAAACAGAAGCCATGCAATGCCACCTGGGCCGCAGACAGGCTAAGGAGGGCTGGGAGAGTGAGAAAAGGCCCCTGGCTCTGTCATCAAGAGTTTCCTGGGAGCTTTGGGGCCCAAGCTAGGCTTCCATGAGCACAAGCAAGAAGGACCCGGAGGCAGGGCTCTAAGGCCCTCTGGATCCAGGGGGCACGGGCCCTGCCTCTATCTGGTGAAGCAGAGCTAGTACTCACTCTCTGTTCCTAGCCCAGGAGGAAGGGAGCTCTTGGGCCTCCGGGATTTCATCTCCGGGGCCTTGGTGTTCTCACTGGCTGGAGCATCTGAAACAAAGCAGGTAACGACAAACTTTAGTCAGCAGCTGCTGAGGAAAAGAGCAGGGGAAGCGTCTCAGTAAAACCCCTTTCCCTAAAAATTATAGTGCTCCTCCCACCTGCCCCACTCTGAGGGCCCTCCATGCCCACTGAGCAGAACGGCAGCTGCGGCTGGGCACCTTCCTCCACCCTCCACAAGAACACCAAAGAAGGACACCCTGTTCCATTGGGCCTGATAAATCAGATAGAGAGAGCACAGTCACCCTGGCAAGATGAATGACAGGCCACCCCAGAGCTGGTGACACCCCCTCTGCAGCAGCACATGCCGCCAGAAATGACACTGCTGGCAGGGTTGGGGCAGAGTCAGCCCCTCCATTTCCCTCTTTCCTGCTCTCTCCTTTAGGAGACTAATTCAGGCAGAATGTTCAAGATTTCTAAAAGGCTGTCTTTCCTACAGAGGCAGGAGGGGATCCCTGCCCTTGGGCTCAGGTCTAGAGGTGCCTTGTAGCCTCTGACTTCTCCATCTTCCTTCTATAGTCCAAATTTTGCCTTGACAGGCCAAACAAAGGCCTCTGAGCAGGTAGCTGAGTGCCCTGCCCACTTCGAGACTGAGTCTAGGACCCACCTTGGAGTTTCTGTTCCCCCTTCCCCAGAGCAGGCCCAGTGACACCTATTGCAGCTGCCTAAGGGGCTTCTCTGAAAATGTTGGGCAGGTGAGTGTGCGGCCTAGAGGGTGAAGGGGCCTGGGGCCTCCACTCCATACTCCCTCGTCCCTTCCACGAGTTAATGCCAAGTGCAGACAAGGTCAGAGGGAGCCTTCCCTTGTTGGGGCAGCTGGGAAACCTGGCTCTAGACTGGGCTGGGTGGGAGAAGCCCAGTGAAGCTTCCAGAAGACTGTAGTTTAAGAAACTGTAGGGAAACCACTCAGGGACTTGGGTCAAGAGGAGCTGGCTGAGCAGCTATCACCAGGTCAGCACGTTCACCAGCTTTCCTTTTCCCCACAAGGAACACTCTTTGGGGACAGTGCTGAGAGGGAGCCCCCCCCCACCTTGAGCCCTCTTCCTGTCCATCCTTTTCCTGCTCCTGAAGAGAGGAAGCTCAGAGGGGGGGTGGAGGGGTGGGACTTTCCAGCAAAGGCTCTGGCCACATTCCTGTGGCTTGGCTGAGGAGGAAGGGCTACCGCCTCCAAGATGGGGCAGTCCTGGCTGATATTGCCTAGACTGGGCTCCTGGGGCTTTGAGGGGTGGGCCTGGGGAACACAGAACCAAGCGGCTGGGTTTGTGTTCATGTGGCTCTCAGAGCCCTCATCTGGATGCGTTTCTCCCGGTGACACTTGGGTTCCTTCCCTGCCATAAGGCACGGACATGCTGACATGGGCTCCTCTAAGCATAATTTTTGAAGCCTCCTCCCAACCTAATGCCCCCACTCCCCAGGAGCCCGCAGCTCAGAGACAGGCCTCAGGGACATAGGGATCAATGTCTCTGCCAAAGACAGAAGGGGGCACAAGGCTGAAGAAACCCCTTCATGCAGCCCCACCCCTGCCTCCATCCCCACAGTGAGTTACTTGACTCCTGCCACCTCACATGAGGGCAAGGGAGCCCTGTGGAGAGTCCCCATCATCTGGAGTGACACTGCCAAGCTCCTCAGGGGGCTGCCCACACCCCAGACCACCAGTTCCACGTGGACACAGCTGGAAGGGGCAATTTCATTCTCTTATGCTGGATGTTTTCCCCATGGGTTGTGGTCACTCAGCCACAGAAAAGTCCTCAGTACATATTTATTTGTCAACCTCAGTACTTTCCAGCTTCAGCTATACATTAGAAGCACCAGCACTGGGATATCTCACCCCCCAGACTTCAGTCTAATTGGTCTGGGTTGGAGTCTGCACAGCAATATTATATAGAAGCTCCCCAGATTCTCAGCTGCTGCCAGCTGAAACTCCCAGCCTCACCTCAAGTTCTGTGTGGGAGCACACGTGCAAGGTGAGGGGTGGGGCTGGGACTACTCCCGGGGACAGGAAAATCTGGTGGTGCTTCTCCTGACATTTAGGGATCAGTGAGCCATAAGCAGGGCAAGGGGCCAGAGTAAGCCTCCCTTGTCCTGCACCTTCCTCCCTTCTTCAGTCTTCCTTTCTTACAAGACCAGAACTTCTTCTCTCTCTCTTTTTTTTTTTTTTTTTTTTGAGACAGAGTCTCAAGCTGTCATTCTGGGTAGAGTGCTGTGGTGTCATAGCTCACAGCAACCTCCAACTCTTGGGCTCAAGCAATCCTCTTGCCTCAGTTTTTCTATTTGTAGTAGAGACGGGGTCTTGCTTTTGATCAGGCTGGTCTTGAATTCGTGAGCTCAAGCTATCCACCCACACTTCTTTGGGGCCACTGCCAGAATGCACACAACAGTGCTTCGGGAAGCAGAAAATAACCGCTGACCTAGGCATTCACTTCTGCTCAGCCTCCCAGAGTGTTCTTCTCTTTTTTTTTTTTTTGAGATAAGGTCTTATTCTGTCACCTGGGCTAGAGAACAGTGTCATAGCTCACTGTAAGCTCCACTCCTGAATTCAAGCAATCCTCCTGCCTCAACCTCCCAAGTAGCTGGGACTATAGGGACTGCCACAATACCTGGCTAATTTTTTTTTCTATTGTTAGTACAGAAGGGGTCTTGCTTTTGTGTGGGTGGTCTCAAACTCCTGGCCCCAAGCGATCCTTGTGTCTCAGCCTTCCCACGTGCTAGGATCATCAGTGGGAACCACTGAGCCCAGCTAAGGTCAGCACTTCCAACAATCACTGATGACAATTTAAAAACAGGTACACCCAGAAAGTTTGTTTCTTTGGCCCTTTTTGAGGAAGAGGAGTAGAGGGCAAAGCATGTACATAGTTCTGGATTCCTGGGCTTCAGCACTCTACCCCTTTGGTGAGTCTCATAATATTAAGAAGAAAGAAAAAGAAGGAGCAAGATATTTCTTAAGTGATGGGTAAATGTAGGTACAAGCAAGCAAAGGATGAGAGGCCCAGGTTTCCTGGGTTCCTGAAAGAAGGGCAGCAGGGCCGGGGTGGTGGTTCATGCTGTAATCCCAGTGCTCTGGGAGGCAGAGAGGGGTAAATCACTTGAGCTCAGGAGTTCAAGACCAGCCTGAGCAAGAGCAAGACCCAACCTCTAAAAAAACAGCTGGGTGTTGTGGCAGGAGCCATGGTCCCAGCTAATCCAGATGCTGAGGCAAAAAGATCACTTGAGCCCTAGAGTTTGAGGTTGCTGTGAGCTGTGATGCCACAGCACTTTACCAAAGGTGACAAAGTGAGATTCTATCTCAAAAAAAAAAAAAAGAAGGGCAGCAGGAACCAAGATTCCTTCTCTCCTTGTGGGGTGTGTTGGACTTGACTTCCAAGTATTACCACAGCAAGGACTGAGAGAGAGCAAGCTCTAGTTTCTTGGGAATGTGCACAAATAATAAAAGCTGCCCTATGTCTCTGTTTCCACATCTGTACCAAAGGAATGGCTCTTATTTTCTCTGTCCCATTGTGTTCCAAGGCCCAAAGGACAGAATGCATGAAACAGTGCTTTGGAAAGCAGAAAACGACCTCTGACCTAGGCATTCACTCTGCTCACCACATTCCCTGCATCCACCTTCAGAAGGCCCTCCCTCACCAGCCCCCACTTGCTCCTGCATCTGTGCCCGACTCCAAGGCGCTGGCTTCTCACTGGACTGGGTTTTGACTAGACAGGCCAGTACACTCTGTGACATGTTCTGAGCCTCGTTTTTAGAAGTTCCCGCACCTTATCTTTCCATCTGGCCATGAGAAAAGGGGTTCAAGTTTCCCTTTCAAACCAAGCACACCCAGACATGGAGCCCCACAGAGGGGCCCCGCCCCCCTGAAGTGTGGGGCCGGCCAGGGATGCTGAGCCACTAGCCCTCCGTGAGAACCGCAGCAAGGAGGGGGCTGGAAGAGCTTTGTGCTTAATCAAAACCAGCTTTGTGCTCACACGGCTGGCCAGGGGATAAAAATAATAGTAATATAAGTTTAACGGCAGCTTGTATTTTCTATTTTAATCATTCTGTGATGAAATTTAACTCCATTTCTAGATCTTTGCTCCAGGGCTGAAGTCCTTTGCTGGCCTGGCAGTGCCCCCAAAGAAGTGTGGGGGAGGAAGATGGAGGTGTGGGGATGTGGGGGGCCTCTACAGAGAGAGGAAAACTTGTCCTTATATGGACAGTGCCTCACCCCTTCCACTCCTGGGCTAGCTCTAAACTCAAGCCCTCAGGGCAGCAATTTTTTTCTGTCTCCCCCAAGAGGTTGGTTCCTTGAGCTCTGACCCTATGCAGGGGGAATAAGGTCTTGGGAAGCTTCTGGGAGGGGGTCCAACTTCTAGGAGCATCAGGAAGGAGCAGGGCTGGGCTCAGCCTTTCCCTTGGATGGCCCACGCCTCCTGCAGGGCCTCTCCCTCTGACTGACAGCAAGGAGCATGCTGGCATAACAGGAGAGAGAGCACCTCTCTGAAGAGGAGAGGATACTTGAGCTCCTCTCCGCTTCTGCTAATCGGAGGCTGAGATTTTCTGAGTCTGACCTTCCTCCCTAGAAAAGGGGAGGAACAACACCTCAAAGACAGTGAAGGAGGATGGAGGTGCCTGATGGAGCTGCCTATGCTGGGTACTGAGCTGCTCCCACCAGGCTGAACAAGGCCATCTGCCAGTACTTAAGTATTTCTCATCTACAAAAACAGCAATTTCATTTAGTTCGACTTAATACACGTTAGCTGCCTATGACCATTTAAACAAGAGCTGTGAAGTGGGAGCAGACTTAGAAGTACAGCAGGACCAAGGTCAACCAAGCAAGGTAGAGGGAGGGGTGAGATCAGCTCAGTGGTGACCATGGTGGCTGTGGGCCAGGTGGTGAGGAGCCCAGGCTCGGGCTCTGCTCATTAAGGCCATCTTCAGCCAGACTCAATCTCTGGATGCCCCAGATGAGGCTGTTGTTACGCTCAAGCCCCTGAAGCCCTTGGTCAGGGTACCAACGACTTCCATGTTGGCAAACCCAGTGCCTACCGCTCAGGCTTCTCTTACTCAGCAGCAGCATTGGTCACATTGGTCTTGATCATTTGGCTTCTTGAAGTTCCCACCATTTGGCTTCTAGATTCCCCCTGTCCCCATCCCCTGGATTTTTTCCGCTGCCTCTGCCTCCCCACCGCCCAATCACTACCATATACCTCAGTCAACAGAGGACGTTATATGGCTTGTTTGTAGCTGGCTCCCCAAATCCCATCTCTAGCCTTTTCCTCCTTCCTCAATTCCAGATGTATCCAAATACCTACCATGTGACATGCCTGCTGGGAGTGTCAGATGGGCACTTCCAGTCCCCTGCATGAGCTCCTGACTGTTCAACCACCCCCACAGTCTACTGAGGGTGGTTGATGTGGCCCTATGAAATCTAAGAGTCACCTTTACATCTCTCTCTCTCCATATCCAATTCATCAGCAAATCCTATCAGCTGTATATCACAATAGATTATTAATCTTACCTCCTAAATCTAAGCGGCCATCGTGTCCTGCCTGGGCTATCATACCAACCTTGCACTGTCCTACCTCTAGTGCCCTGGGTCTGCCTCTCAACTCCAGATTATCTCCTGCCTAAGTGACATGTCCACTTGGGGTCAAATGGGCATCTTAAACTTAAATTTCCAGTCAGACACCTGAGTGATCCTTTATGAATGTCCATTGTCATCCCATCACACTTAGAATAAAATCCAGTTTCCTTGTCACTGCCAACTCTGCTTGGACCCAGCCAACAGTCCTCCTCAGCCTCATTTCCCACCCCTCATCCTGGAGCGCCTCAAGCACAGTGTCATCGGTTCAGGGCTGTGCTCTGGCTGCCACCTCTTCCCTCTGTCTTCCTTCACTTCTTTCAGGTCTCTGTTCAAATGTCTCTTCCTCAGAGAGGCCTCAGCAACCACCCTCTCCCAAAGCAGCCTTCCTCCCCAGCACCCTGCTCTGCTTTCTTCATAGCACCTGATATCATGTACGACATGGCCATCCATCTGAGTCATTGCATCTCCCCAACGAGAGTCGTGCCAAGAATGGGAACCTTTTCTGTTTTGTTTACTGCTTTTAGCACAGCCCTAGAGCACCTTGGCACAGAGTGGGCACTCAAATATTTGTGGAATGAATGAGTGATGGCATGAGTGCCCATTGGAATGTCCCCTCCTACTCAAGCATGCACGACCCTCTATGGTCACAAAGCCCTGACCTCACTGGTAGTTAAGGCTGGGTGCCTTGGCCAGGTGGCTGGGAGGGAAGGCCTCATTGGGGGAGGGCTGGACAAGCCAGGGAGGGGGCTAAGGTGTCTTCTAACTCCTGTGGTAGGGTTCTAGACCAAGCAGGACTTTTCCCCACACTTTTCACTGGGGTCTGAAGGAGAAGAAATGGATTACTCAGTGCCATGTGTGGGACTTCCCAGCAGGGAGGGTTGAAACTAAAGAAAGTCTAGATCAGTTGGGGGAGAGGCCCTGTGTAATCCACTGCACAGGGAGGCTGAGCGGAAACCCACCCAGAACATAGAAGGCACCCCAGAAAGGGGCAGGCTCCAGAGCCAGACACACCTGAGTGGGGGCAATTCATGTCATATCTACTGGACTAGGTGGTGCCCCAACTACTGCCTACCGTCTGTGTGACCTGGGCAGTCTCTGAGCCCTGGTTTGCTCATGGAGAAGGACTCCCTCCACAATTGTTGCATAAATTAAAAATGCAAAATGCTCAAAAGTCTCTGGCCATAGCAAGCATTGAAGGCCAGCTTTTCTTGCTTTTGGGCAAGTTTTTTTTGCAACTCCTTATTTACTCTAGGCTTCATCTCCCTTCTGTGTGGCACAAGTTGATGCTTACTGCTGGGTTTAGAAAGGAGAGTGGGGCTCGGCGCCTGTGGCTCAAGCAGCTAAGGCACCAGCCACATACACCTAAGGTGGCAGGTTCAAATCCCCAGCCCGGGCCTGCCAAACAACAATGATGGCTGCAACCAAAAAATGGCCGGGCATTGTGGCGGGCGCCTGTAGTCCCAGCTACTTGGGAGGCTGAGGCAGGAGACTCGCTTGAGCCCAGGAGTTGGAGGTTGCTGTGAGCATGATGCCATGGCACTCTACCCAGGGGGATAGCTTGAGGCTCCGTCTCAAAAAAAAAAAAAAAAAAAAGAAAGGAGAGTGGCATGACCATAATCATGAAATGTCCCTTTTCTTCGGAATAAAGTCCTAAACAAGATGATTAAACACAGCAAGGTGCGCTGTGTTACAAAGGTTACCTTCCTTATCTTTGCTATGAGGGAAACATGGTGAGGCCAACACAGAACAGCCAATGAGCTGTTTGTCTTATTTTTATAAGGCCTTGTAGTACATTGGTATGTCGGCCTCAGATGTATGGTCTTAATAGTGTTTGGCACAGGCTGAGTGATAGTGACTTTCAGGGTCCGGGCCAGCACTGCCAGAAGCCTGCCTGAAGTCAGCATCAGCTGCAGCCCCTGTGCTTAGTGATGGAGGGCCTGGCTGCCCCATCCAGAGGCCAGGCAGGCAGTGGCAGATGGGAGAGCCTGGAAGAGGCCACATGATGACTAGGCATGAAAATTCTGTCATGGTTACTTCTTGGGGCAAGGAGTTCTTCCATGTACTTTGATGCAAAGTACAAATTCTCTTTTTGAGAATTTGATTAAAAACTGAAGTCCACTCTCTTCAGAAAGATGCTCCAACCCCTCTACCCCACCTCCACAATTTTGTCTATACTTCCAAAGCATGCTTGGACCCATCAGCATCTCCAAGTCAAGTCTGACACCTCGGGGAGTAAGGAGGGCTGAGGGGCTAAAGAAGCACCAGCCAAAAGGAGCAAGAAGATGCAGACCAGGACGGGGTGGGGTGGGGGGGCAGTAAGAAGACCCCAGTCCTTCACTATGTGCCTGGAGGTGGCTTTTGACAGAAAAGTAGAGGTAAATGGGCAGGAAACCCACCCAAAAGACAGGAGGCTAACAGATCTCCAGGGGGAAAGGAATGGAGGAAGGGGCTGCCCTTTTTCTCCCTGAACATAAAACCAAACACAGCCCAGGGACTGGGAAGCAGTCTTGTTATCTCAGCTGGGTTCCCTCCTATCATTCTTCTAGCTCTACTTCCAAGATCCAGCTCCCAACTTGCAACCAGAGGCCAAAGCTTGCCTTTGAAGGAGCTAGAGATAAATAATGATAGTCAACAAAATTAGTGGAGAGAGCAAGGGAATGTTCCAGCAGGCCTCTGGGCAAAGTCCCCTAAGTTGCAGAATGAATTCCCCAAACTTAAAAAAAAAAAGAATTCCCAAATGTATTTAGCAGGGGAAAAGGAAATTTCATCTTGAAAACAAATCTGAAAAAGGTGCTGACATTTTACAGATAAGGAGGATGAATTGCTGTCCTGCCTTCTGCGAGCCATGTAAATAGGACCTAAAGAGGCTGGCAGTCGATAACCTCATTAGCTGCTGGGCTTCCTGAGGTGTGAATTCCAAGGGAGCAGAGGGGCTGTTAGAAATAGCTTTCAGGCCAAGTTACCAGAAATGCTATTTTTTAAAAATGGTAGCACCTGGCTAGAAAGAGGCAGGACTCTGAGCTGGGTGGGTGACAGTAACCAGCAGGAGAAGGCCTGGAGCCTCCAAACATGTGTTCCCTTCTTAAATGACATAAACCTGGGTCCATCAAACCTGCTTCCGTAGACTCAGAGCCCCCATGGCTAGTACATTCACAGGGAAACATACACAATATTCTGGCTTAACTTTTGGCTATTCGCAATGTAATCTGTGTTGCCCTTGTGTGTTTTTCAAAGACTTTTTAAGACTTTCTCCCACTCTCTCCCATTCATTATGTGCCATAGATCCCATCTCAGCTTTGTGATCAGGAAATGGGGTTATAAAGTCCAGAAGAAGGACAAAGATTCTACATTTTGTGGAATGATGGTGAAATAGGTTAGGATTTTAAAACTCAAGTGATCACATGCAGGAGTCAGAAGAACAACAAAGCTATGCTTCAAGATGCCTTATTTGGACACTGGTTTTTGATATGTCACTGATGGTTATTAACCAGGCATTTCAAAGGCAAGAAATTGTTTCCACAGACGACCTTTATAGGTATTTCCAAGCAAGCACCAAATACAAAAGAAAGGACACTGGATTGTGAGCCCCAGGCTGGGGTCCTCCTCTGGCTGGGCCTGGAATGGGCCAGGGAGCCTCAGGTGGGGTGCTTTTCCTCGCTTCCTCTCTGAATGCCGGCAGTGTTCTCATCTGTAAGATGAATCTAAGCCACTACAAGGGTCATTCTGCTTCTGAGTCTCCAGTTAGACACTCCTCACGGTAGAGACAAATCTGTCACCATGTACTTCCTGTGTTCCTTTAGGACACACCCTGACTCTGCAGAGCCTGGCACTGCCCCTTCCCCACACGAAAACTCCGCTCAGATGTGCAGACACACTCTTTCTCCCATGTGTCCCCTCCCCTCCCTCTGCTATATCATTATTACCATTTTCCTTTGGCAGAGGTTAGCCCTGTCCTCTCTGCCCCAAAACTCAGCCCCAACTCACCCTCTTGAGGATGTCTCCCCACATGGGCCCCACTCTGCACTCAGGTTCCAGGACCCAAGACCCAGGCTGGGTCTGCCCTGCCAGCACTGACACTCTTGTGGCTTGTAAAACCCTTTAGTCATTTTCCTGTGGGTGTGTCTTTTCTCCTGCCCAGTGTCCCAGCTTCCCTGCTCAAAGGTTCTGGGTGTGGGAGTCAGAGGTTGAAAGGGCCAAGTAGGTGGGCAGCCCCTCCTCCTGGCCAGGGGCAGGGTACAGGAAGAGCTGCCACTTTTCTTCCTGTTTTTTGTAAAACATAGGTTGACGTGCACAATGAATACCTTGGGCAGGAAGGGCAGTGTTGGGGGTAGTTCCAAGTAGGCATGGGTCAAGGGAGAGCTGAGAAGCGGGACCCTGTGTAAGGTGGTGGTGATGGGTGGACACAACCTACCGTCCACAGTGACTTGGCAGGAACATTCAGCCTGGCCAGCATCATTCTTGGCCATACACTTGTATAAGCCTCTGTCCTCGGGCAGGGCCTTCTCGATGGAGACAGAGCAGAGTGAGCCTGGGGAGGAGGAAGAAGAAAGTTGAGTGGATCAGGTGTGGCCCCAACACCTGCCCTGGCATCTGGAGCACAGCAGGTGAACACATGAGGCCTCTGGAAAGCCCAGAAGCCAGAGGCCCTACAGAAATAAACCCTCTCTCCTCACTGAAGCCAGGGCTCTCTGCTGATAACCATTGTCTACAATAAGTGGTCTGCAAATCCATCCCCTCTTGGTCCCCCTCTACAGAGAGTCCTCTTATGGGGACATAACAGATTACAAAAGAAGGGAGAGAACAGCCTCTGCTTTTGGAGAGCATCTCATACAACAGGAGACAGACATGGGCCCCCCACACTGGGATGTCACCAAGAGAGAAGGGCAGCAGGCACAGGGATATAGACCCATGTTAGGAACAGCAGCAGGTAAGGGGATGCAGTCCCAGAGTCACTGTTATTGGCTGTCTGACCAGCTGACAACAGTAACTCTGGGACTGCATCTCAGAAAAGGGAGCTTTGAGCATAGGAGACAGGTGGGCGAGGGCAGGGACCCTTGTCCAGGGGTGGCGCTGGCCTGTGGGAAGATCTGTTGGGAGAAGCAGCTGACTACAGCCTGGGACCTAGGAGCTGACTTTTTAGGATGGTGTCTGAGCCTAAGATCTGTGGCCAGTGAGGGGCCCTGGGCAGGCAGAGGGGCACTTTGGGGTTGTCTTCCTTCACTTCCAGGTCTTCTGGCTGCCACAGAAAAGAGTGGGGATGGTCCTTCTCGATGGACTCCCACCTGCTCTACTCAGCCTGGGTCTGTCCTGCCAGCACTGACACTCTGGTGGCTTGTAAAAGAGCGTGTCCCCATCACACCTCTTCTGGCCTGGCTGGGGGCAAGGAGTCAGGCTGAGCACACACAGGGACCTGGGGGCTGACTCTTGCCTATCCCAGCTCTCTCATCCCAGGGCTGGATACTGCTGCTCTAGGGGACTTCTTTGGTGGGGGGGTTCCCTCAGGATGTGGTGAGAGATCAGCTGAGGGCCAGGCCCGGTGGGCCAGGATGAAGGGCAGCAGTCCTCTAGGTCCTGCCTGCAGACAACCACACGAGCCAACAGCATGGTCCTGTCCAAAGCTGCCCCCTTATCAGGGCAGCAGCCAACACACAGGAGGAGGACAAAGCCAGGGCCACTTGTGTCCTGCTGTCTGGAGCCACAAGCCATTGTCACTGGGATGGCAGAGCTGTGTGTATCTTGGGGACAGGTGTGGGGACAGCATGACCAGAGGGGAGACCAACAGGCACTGTTCTCCAAAGGGCCTTCTGATCCTGAAAAACATACAAGCTTGTCCAACAATGGAGAATCCGAAAGAGGAAGGGTAACATCAGTTCTGCCTACATAGCTTTACTAAGGCTGGAAGAGAAAAATAAAGGCATGATACTCATCTCTACTCCTTGCCAGCTGGGTAACACTTTAAACAGAGAATCCTTTGTCCTACAAAACACCTGGGGAAGGATGGCTGGTCTGCACCCCATCCCCAACCTCCTAGACCCTTGCATAGACCCCACCCCTCGGGAAAGGCCTCACTGGCCTGTTGTCTTCTCACCAGGAGGGCAACAGGCCAGGGTCACTTCTCATTGTGGTTGGGAGACAGAATTTCCAGAACCTACAACAGAAAGGATTTAAGCTACATCTTTAGGAAGTCTGTCATAAAAGCGAGACCCATGAGGCACCTGGACAGGGGAATGGGGATAATTGTCTTCTAGAGAGGGAAGTTTCTACACATCTGGGTGGGCAGGAGGATGCTGAGATGACCTCAGGCCCCAACTAGAGGCTCAGAGGAAACTAACCCCATCTTGCAAGCTCCCCCAGCCTGGGTGGGGCTGAGACTCTGGGCACAGATATCCAGCACCCCCAGGGCACATCCTGTTCAAATCCCTGATTGTCTTTCAGTTTCAGTCCCTTAGCTTTAGCCTTAAAGCTGACAGAGTGACCACCAGGAGATCAGTGAGGGTACAGGCCAGGGGAAGGCAGGGAGCAGGCAGCTGTTCCCAGCCACCCAGAGCCCAGACCCCTGGCCACGCGTGGGCTGGGGGAGGGCCCCCAGGCAGGCTCAGAGCCCTGGCTACCCCAGATGAAGAATCTGGTATTTCCTGTGGGACAGTTCATTCCTGACCTCCAGAAGAAAAACCGTTTCCCAGTGATTTTTTTTTTTTTCTGAGAAGCCTCAGCCTGGTGGGGAATTTTGAGAGGGAGGTGAGGGGGTTGGGAGCAGTGGGAACCAGGAACCCTCTGCAGGGTGCAGAGGGCGCTCTGTGCCCCTCACGGTGCGAAGTCTGTGCTCGGGGTCTGAAGCTCGCCTAGCCCTCTCCTTTCCTGAGTGACTGGCAGGAGGGAGGAAGATGCTGGGGAGGAGGGAGGCTCTGCTAGGGGGCTGCCTCAGTCAGCAGCGCCTCCCTAACCCAGCCCACCTGGCCAGTCCAGAACCACAGCGTGACTCATCTCCAGGTCACCACCTCAGGCACGGTACCCTCTGTGTCCCCCCTCAGTTCCCATACCCAGGTGGGTCTCTTCCCTGCTCTCAGGTCGCCTGAGCTCCCCTGTGTCAAAGCACAGCTCGCAGGGCCACTGCTGACTGACTGACATGCCTGTTTCCCGCCCAGCTTTCTGAGGGCAGGGACCGCATCTGTCACCAGTCTTTCCCTTGAGCCTGGAAGGCAGTCGCAGCAAAACATATCTGCTGTTCTGAGAATGACAAAGAGTATTTCTGCAGATGATTTTGTAGGATCCACACAAAACAAGGCCATGAATACTTAATCCAATATAGCTACTATTGAAAAATACGGTTTCTGGCTCGGCGCCTATAGCTCAACCGGCTAAGGCGCCAGCCACGTACACCTAAGGTGGTGGGTTCGAATCCCCAG